GTTCGACTTAACTTCTTAAAGTCTTCTTGTCTTCTCGTAGTTTATAATTAGACTCTGCACGCAGCGTAATTTAGCCCCTATTATCCATGACCAGGGGCATAGCCAACTTTCAGTCGGGGGGGGGGGGGTGCAATCGCCAGAAAACAATAACGGTTTTCAGTCGGGGGGAGGGGGTTGCGATTGTGGCAAAAGCAAGCCAAAAGATGCAACTTCCTTCAAAATAGCATCTACTATAATATTTATTTTTCTATCCGATATACAACTGATATTGATATCTTTTCCCGGACAATGTGTTATCTCATGGTCCGTTGACATCATCAACAATGTGATTTACCACAAGAGATTAACCAACATTCCTTAATTAAAAAGTTGACATTTCTTGAATTTTTAAAGCAAAAACACTATGACACAATAACATCGAGGCAAAATCAAAACATGGTGTGGAAATAAAAGGCATACAAAATGGCCATTAAAAAGACATTTTTGTTCATAAAAGTATCAACTTTACTACATTGGTCGCAAATACAAAGTATAGAATAAATAAAAATAACGTCTTCCCAGAGATTACAATACGGATCAGTAAGTCAACAAATCTAACCGTTGAATAAACAAACTTAGCCCACGTTTGAAACTGTTCGTCTGCTGGTCAGAACTTGGTATTCGCTTCGGATAATCAATTTCTGAGAATACTGATGTCTTAAATAATTCATAAAGACGACATTGTCTTTAAATAAGGATCTTTAATCTACAAACTGTTATTAATAACAGTTTTTAGTATACAAATTGAACATACAAAATGTAGCGTACTGATTACACGTTACAGTGGCGTAGTCAGCTTTCAGTCGGGGCATGACCCCGTGGGAGGGGGGGAGGGGGGGGGGGTGCGATCATGGCATAAAAAATGTTTTTGAAGATTTGTTTTGAATTTTACAAAAATTGGTGCAACTAGAAGCTTCAAATAAAAAGCATTTTGAGACTTTTTTCTTCTATCTAATGGTTCTATTTTCATCGGTTATGGAGGGGGGGGGTGCGATCGCACCCATCACATCCTCCTGGCTACGCCTATGCGCTATATTAATATAACAAGGTTATCATATCATGCCAATAGTTAGATGGTTAACTAATATTAACACAAAATAATAATACACGATAATTAAAAAAATAAACCTCGGTATTCGGGCCTAAAATCCAAGGATACGTGTACCATTACTTAAGCGTAAGCTGCAATACCATATCGAATACCTGTACCATTACTCAATAATAACCACCAGTAAGACCATAATAACAAGCTTAATAACTAGCTTATTGCAAGTTGTTTCATACGATTTTGTCGTGTGTGTCCTAATGAGATAGTTTTGAAGTTCGAAAACCGGGTGAAATTGGTTATAGTAAATTGAATATGATAATCAGAGCCAGAAAACAGAGATACGTGTACAAGAAAAGTATTAATATATGAAGGACAGGGGGCTACTGAAACTGGTTGTTCAAGCGTATGCTTGTAATGCCTGGGTCACATTTGCTCAGAATCATCGTTCGGCCTCCGGTCGATTGAGTATTTGTTTAAATTGTATTAGGGTTTGAACAAAACACTCAATCGGCCGGCGCCCGGCAGATGAATTGGAGCAAATGGGACCTAGGTATATGAGGGGCAACATTTTAGATATAGTATTGTTTGAAATCCTTGGAAAATGCACTCCCCCAATTTTGCAAATATGGTCTGGTGCTAATGAACCCTCTAATTTGTTTTACGTTTACATGAGCAACTAACAAATATATTTATTCTCATTCTGTCTCAGCTTAGTTTTAATTAAATTTTACCCCCACCCTTCGAACGTCTTTGTCTCCCTTATTTTTGCAACCCTACATTCAGTTTCTTTTTAAACCAAATCAAGAACTATCCGTCCACATATCAGATATTAAATCAATAGTTGTTTATTATTATAAGATGTTTATAGATCATAAGCTATTTGTAATTTCAGCTATAAAATTAGCCCTCTCCCCCCCCCCTCTTCGCCGACAGATAGAGATGTATTGTTTAAAATAATACTGCATCCCCGGCCAATAATTATTTTACCACATTGAGCAGTTTGTAATTTTGAGCAATTATCAAATGTGACCCGACCCCTGGAATAATTCAAAAGTCATTCCCTTAGCAAATGCTGGCTTCGGACCTGGTACTTATCAAGACGAAATAATTTGCGTTGATTATTGGAAATATCCATTTAAACAGACCCTCTAATTTATGACAAGTTAACAATAAAAAAGAATGTTGCGATGCTTTTTGATTTGAGAACGCATATTTAGCTAAAGCAAAATACGAAATATAAACTCATGCGGTAATTATGATTTAATGTTGATTGCAATTATGTTCGATGATCGTCAACATGAAAGAAATATATGTCTGAATAATTAGCTATAAAACATCTTTATCAAAACTTCCCTACACTTTTAAATGCTCATCTTGTCAAAGAGTACCATCCACCTGAGATTTAGATGTAGATCGAAAATCAAATTGTTTTCAAAAGTATTTATATATTGGTTTACATGAGGGGTTCTGTCCATGTGGGTGGTGTATTCTTTTCATAACAAAGAGTTGTTTTGCTTCCAGGGTCCTAAATTCTTCAATTTAAATAGTAATTAATAAGGTTAATAAGATCAAAAAGACTCGAGGCACTGCCGTCGCCCCATCATGATCAATACAGGTGACAATAAGCGACAGTTGTTACAGTACAAGTTATTGATTCAGGTTCATATTTGTTATAAATATAGACTTGATTACGTTTCAGGCCCGTAGCCAGGATTTGCCAAGAGGTGGGTTACTTTTTAAAAAATTCCAGGGGGAGTTCACTTTTGGCAATGTTAGTTCAAAAATGGCCAAAATAATTTAAAAAGTGCTCAGAATGGTGTAAAATAATGCATTTTTGGTGACGGAGGAGGCTAGAACCAATCTACTCCCCCCCCCTGTATACGGGCCTGCATGTGCTATCTACATATTTGACTATTTGATCAGTCCCGTAGCCAGTATTTGCCAAGGAGATCACTTAAAACGTGCTCAGAATGGTGAAACCTGCATGATTTTGAAAGACTTTTTGGCCGGGGGGGGGGGGTCGAACCCGTCGACCCCCTGGCTACGGGCCTGTTGATTGACACGGTTGAAAGTGGAGTTTGTTAATTATTCAAACTGTTCTAAAAGAGGAATATGCGTCCAATTAAAATCATATCGTGATCCTGTAAAAATGTCAGATTTAGCAAAATAAATAGGCGATCTCCATCTGCACACATCTACTCATTTCGATTAAGCTATTGCCTACACTTACGCGCACACACATACTTTAAGATTAAATTTATTTTGATAATGATTTAAAAAACATCAATTATTATCAACATGAAATTAAAACGATTGTCAGTATATTCCAAAAGTATAATTAAGCGCGACTATAGCGCATAACAACAGGTAGCCGGTCTAATTATACTGTTTGTTTTGATAAGGCAGTGCAAAGAGATATCAAAACTCTTGACACGCTCTGTACACGCGAGGTCTTTGCACCTCTTGACACGTCTTGGAATCTCTAGATACGCGGAGTTTCTAGACTATCTTTGCACGTCTAGAAATTGCTTGGAACTTCACATTTGACGCAGTGTATGAATAACATTTATAAATTGTCCAGATGTAAATAAAATGAAAAAAAGTATTATTTATCAACAGAAATTTAAAATTCACCATGAGACTGCCGTGGGAAATGTGACTGCAAAAGTATGAGAGCGCAGAAATTCTACTGCGAGCGTAGAAAAGCTACTGGCCGCAGAAATGATAGACCGCACGGCGGCCGTGGGAAATGTGACTGGGGTGTAAGAGTGTATCTAGACAGCATTAAGCATCTAGATCAAAGGGGTATCGATGGAAATGCATTATATAGACTTTTATGAATAAAAATAAATAAAACACCACATTTTCTGTTTCGTTTGATAAAAATAAATGGTCTATTAGGACTCTAATTGAAGAGAAATACCAACGTAAAAGTCAACGTGTGAGTGGGAGAATGCATGTATGAATGAATTAGAATGGGTATGAATGAAGTTCAAGTTGTAAGATCATGTAAAATTATATTTATTTAAACTTATACAACTTATAGTACATATTTCTACATATAAAACTTTTGTGAAATTACATTTGTATTCTTTTATATATTGTACTTGAAATGTATTAAATGAGTACTTGAATAAAAAAAAATAAAATAAAAAATACAGAGCACTTTGAGCCATCTGTAGAATTAGGGCGGAGAACAATATGGTGATTCTTTCTCGATGTGTTGCAATGTTGTGGAGGGTAAACACTTTGCTCTTGAAAAAGTCCCAAAGTCAGATCAGGACCTTTTCCAGTAGTACCAGGTCCATGCACTCTTGCAATGTCTAAACCTCAGAGGGGGAGAAACACCAGGGTTCAAAGATGACATACGCTTACAATGTAAATCTGTATTGAGATGACATCGTCGCTGATTGGTCAAAAGTCGACAAACAAATGACGTCATCAATGGCGGTTTCAAAATTTTCGAAATGCGCTTCGAATAATATTATGTTCATTTCTGGCGTATTAACCAATATCATAGCTTCTCATTTCACATCAAGATAAGGAAAGGTGTACGGAATATGCCCATGTCAATTAAAACATCCCATCGAAGTGTAATATTTGATAACTAGCCAATGAAAATTCGAACGAACGAAGGTGGTAAGCAAGAGAGGTAATTATGTCATCTTTAAACTCTGGGGCTTTCCCTCCTCTTGTCTAAACCTAGTCCAAAAGCAATTTTTGCCAACTGTACAAAATGAATGATTACTCAGCCAAAAATGGGCCCTTGTGAATAAATGACATACCTTTCAAAAGAGGCGAAACGTAGCTTCATGATACAGTTAATGAAATTGATACAGTCATGGCTGATTTTGTGGTTTTGCAATTTATTTGTTTGCTGCCCTTTTGATATACGCATTGTAGTTCTACTCACGCGTTTGCTTTCTTTAGTGTGGGCAGTGAACAAAACCTTTGAACACTGGCTTGATTGGTTCCATAAACCTGCCACCAGAGTATCGTATCTGACACCACTATCGTCCAGAATGTATTGATTCTTGTGGGATCAAAATTAAAACTAAAACATGAATAAGATATAATAGATTATACTATGTTATCATTATTTGGGATAACCCCATTTTCTTTTCTAACCAATTGCTGCTGTGTCGTGAAACTTTAAATCTATCGGCAATTACTTACTCAAAGAAATTAAGGCGTTCGTGTTCCTGGCAAATCTCAAATACCTTGGAGACACTTCCAACTTTGACAACGCCCTGTGTATAAAAACACAACAAGCTTATAAGCTCATGTATGATGTAACAACGTCGACACACATTTCTACCTAGAACTAAAAAACTTCATTTTTTGTTTGCATTGTCTGCTAAATACAAAACTTACAAAAATATTAATTGTATTGTATTATTCATTGGCAATAGTTGAGGTTACCATGACAATGACTGCTAGTATTCCACCTAACATGATGACCGATTGTAACACATCTGTCCATACAACAGCTTTCATTCCTCCCTACAAAAATACAAGCACCTCAGCATAACATAGTTATCTATGAAAAGTAAGAAAAAATCTGAACTGTGAAAGACTTTTTAGAAAGCAATTTTGTTCACCAATATGTTCTAGTAAGTGATTTCGATAGAAAAAACTGTTTTGATTTAATATCATGCTTTCTATAAAATATGTTTTAATCAGTATTTTGACGCTTAATAATTTTCAATTTTCAATCACTCTTTAGATATGAGAAATCAATTGAACATAAGGTGAGAGTTATTTCAATACAAACGTGTGAATTCACGCCAAAAGATGAAAAAATGATAGTGCCAGCGTTTTTTTTATTATTCTCATTTTATAATTGGCGTGGGAATTGTATGACTCGTAAATAAGAAGACTAACGCGTGTGAGAACACTTCAGGTTGGTATATAAGCTTTAACAATTCATCGATGACCAACACTAAGAATTCAGCATAATAGTTCTGTATAATTTTGAAGGAACGACATTAGGGTTCAGTTCCAATACCTCAAAAATACAGGATTGCACTTTGATTTTGACATTAACTTTTGATATGCATCATTAATCTATGAAATATATCCATAGAGATATTTGAGTCTATACTAATTCTACTAGATATGAATAAATTATACTTACTATGCATGTGTAGATAGTTCCGACGCCCGCGGTGACCAATATGGATGCCCAAACAGGAAAACCAGTAACTAAGAAAATAACGTGTTTTGTTAACATTATAGTATGCCCGATGTTTTAGCTAGATTTACTTATCTTGAGCGTGAGTACATTTTGTATAAACCGTACTTCTCATCTTTATAGTCCCTTCATTTTCAAAAGATTGGCAATCCATCCCCCCTCATCTGATATTCGTTTTTAAGCCTATTTCATACGTGACTTTAAGAATCATCTTGGTCTTAACAAACATAATGTATAAAAATTCAACGGAAATCACATTAAGGCGACGCTATATTAAATAATAAGTACAAAAAATGACTGCCATATTTTTTTGATAAAGACACATGTTTTTAAAATATGTTTACCTTGTATATGAATTGTGTATCTTGACTAATGAAACATGTCAAAGTTAGCATCACACATAAACGCATTTTTCCAAACTATGAATTGGAGGTGCATGGATCCCCAAAGCTAGCATGAAGAGTGCGAAGTGAGGTTAATTTTTGAAAGTTTCAAGGAGTAGCCTTGCAACAGTCACACATTTGCAAGTCTAAAATTTCCACAAATCATCTTACCTTTCCCAGGAACAACGAAGGAGCATGAAAATGTGCACTTCTTGCATTGTTAGAGTATAATAAAGCTCAAACCATTGTAAATTCCAAATATTTCATGTCCACATTTTGTGGACATGAAATCTTCACCTTTTTGTGATATCTTACGTATCAACATGGATGTGCGCCTCAACTATAATTAGATTTTGATTTAGGCGTAAATGAGTTTACCTGCTTCGAGAGCTGTGGATGGTGCAAAGGTAGCTGTGCCCATGTAAGATACCTAAAACGTTATCTAAAAATTATTTGCAATAAAACCCCATTTAGGCAAACATACAGAAGTTTGAGAAATTAATAAAATCAAACAAAAATATACTAATAAAACTTTAATTTTCTAGATTTTAAATCGAGGCTGGGCAAAAGAATGTACATGTATGATAAATGTTATTTTGATGTTTGTTACTGTAATAGTTAAGTTTGCTTTTTATATACTCTATATACCCTAAAATGATTTGAGAAATATATAAATAAAAAACAAAGGTAGCAACACAATAGAATGAACTACATTTTGTTCTAAAGAATATACAGTTGTAACAAAGAAAATTGCATCTTTTTCTATTGTTTTTATTTTTAAAGAGTACACTTAGCAAGCTTTTCAAAACCAGTGTGGCACAAAAGACGATTGACTGTCACATGCTGTAACTATAATGTGAACTAACTATAATATCCCATTCACTCATTCAATAGATATCACATTTTAAACTGCCCCGTTACATACAACAGTTACATGCAATCTTATCTGTATGAACAAGTGCTTGCGAATCATGTTTTGTCGAATAATTACAATGTATTTCAGTAATTTGATCAAATTTACACGTTCTCATTGCCAAAACAACAATGTTGATCTCATAGGAGTCACAGAGTCCGCATTGTTGCCCTATTTCAACCGTACTATATACTTGAGCAAACTAAAGCTTAAAAGACCCCCTTTATCTGATCCATTGGAAATGTAAGAGTGTCAGATTTAAGGACCTGAAATGAATCTCGAAATAACGGTACAAAGCACTTCATCAGGGTGTTATTTTAAATATAACATTTCTGACATTTAAGGACGTAAACCATAACTAGGTTTATTGTTGGTGATTCTATGGATGGTCTTGTGTCAAGATATTGAATAAGAATGATAGATGGTAGCAAAAAATCAAAGACTATGATACAAGACATGAGTTCTTACCTTTCATAGTACATTTTTGAAAATATACCTCAGTTAATGTCCCTCATTACAAAATTGACCCCTATTGGTGAAAGTACTAATTATTAGACGTGTAACTCGTTAAACATAAATATCTTTCGTCTTGTTTCATTTACCCTTCAAATAGTACATCCAACCTGTTATGTCTTACAATATAATTTACTCCATTAATAGTCTGACCATCCAAACAATCATTAAGTAACTTTGATCCTGTAACTCAAACCTTTGTGCGCCCTTACCGTTGCAATGATTCCCATTACAGAGCCAAGTTTTCGAACAGCTACTGAGTCAAACCTCAAATGCAAGTACTGAAATAAATGAAAAAATGCATCTGCGTTATGTTCAAACATACATTTTTAGAACATTTTTGAATAAGTTTCAACCATAGCTACTAGTGGTGTCAATTAACCGCTTGAGCATTAACCGGTTAACCGGGGGTTTTTACCGGTTAAAGTCGGTTAACCGGCGGGAAATTTGAACTGATAATTTCAAATGAAATCTTCATTTTCGATCTTGAAAGTTGGAAAAAATTTGAAAAATGATATATCGGCGTTTATATTTATATATATTATTTTTATATTTAGCTTTACTCTATTCTATGTAAGTAAGCGCGGGAAAGCAATGTGGCAGGGATTAAAGTTGCTGATTGGATGTTTGTTAGGAATTATCGGACCAATCACATGTATGAGTAGCTCACATGAAACTGACGCTTGAAAAACAAACAGATTAAAATGCAAAGTAAGCGCGGGAAAGCAATGTGGCAGGGATTAAAGTTGCTGATTGGATGTTTGTAAGGAGTTATGGGACTTATGACATGTATGAGTTGCTTACGTGAAACTGACACCATAAAACCAAACGGATTAGCATGCAAAATAAGCGCGGGAAATAACAGAATTATACACGGTCAACTAACCGCCCATAAAAACACAGACCGGTCAAGGCATTATCGGCGGTTAACCGGTTAACCGGTTAATACTTGACACCTCTAATAGCTACGCAATAAAAGGTTCAAAAGATCGAGATAATATTCTTAAATTTTCGGCGTATTCACATTCTGCATATTCGTTTATCACCCTACACATAGAGAGCGCGCAATATTACTACGCTGGCTGCATTTGAAGAGACTATCTGGCTATTTTAAACATGGCTGAAGAGAGGTAAGTTTTGTTTCCAACATTTTGATTGTTTTTCAAGCTGTATACCAGCGATTATTGAATTTCTTAAAAGAATGATATTCAAAGTACCTATGTTTGACAGCTTACTATAAAACGCCGACCTATTGGCATGGGCTGCTGAGATAAAAACAAATTCCAAAAACCGCCAAATTATTTCCATTTATTTCTTCCTCTCGATCAACTGCTAAGCTACCAATTATCCAGGTAAGCTGACAATTGAACGATGATGACCCCATCCACCATCTATGCATATAATTAGATCCTATAATAGCCCGAATTTGTACAGTACAAGTCCTAAGTAAAACTCTGCCGAAAAAGGAGAGGACTACGGCGGGTGAGTATTTTAATATGATTCTAATGCATACTAAAATGTTTTCATTTTATTTCAGACAAGGATTCGAATGTTACTATTGCAACACAAACCGGAGATGTAAGAAATTTACAGATATGATTCATCACCTACTTGAAATACACCCAGATGATGAATTAAAGCTCAGAAAAATTAGCAGGATCAAAAACAATATAAGAATAACAACAAGAAATTTCTCCAGAATTATACTAAGTGCAGTGACAAACGCAAATAAAAGAATAATTATTGATAGCGATGAATATATGACAATAAGTGTAATTAAAGAAAATAAAATGAAATGTTCAAAAATTCAAAATTCAACCCCAATGAAATGTCAATCTGATTTAATAACACATGAAATTCAATACAATGAAATGACAACTGAAATTGAATGCAGCAAATCCTCCAATGAGTGGACACTGTCCAGATTCAAGATGAAACAGCTGATTTTGATGATTCATTAATGGGCGAAGATTATGAAATGATAGTCACTGAAGAAATGATATGTGAAATGAAAAAAATGATCCCTGTTGTTGCTGAAAAACTCTCAAAGATGAGGACATTTTTGGAGCTGTTATCTACCTACATACTGGTTGAGAAACATTATAGGGAATTTTGTCTTCAGTAGGGGTACAGTACTATGCTAGTGCTTTCCTAACCCTACCATCACACCAAACTAGTTCTCACTACGTTCTCGAAAATGGGCTTCAACTGTGTACGAACGGACTGGACGTACTTAGAACCATTTGGGGTCTATTTACCTTTAACTTCATCGAACGTACTCGAACGGGTAGGTCCTCTAGAACTTAGAACATGATCAAAATGTTCTCGTGGTCGTCACGTTCTACAATTAGAACGATTGACAACGTACTAATAACGAGCTGGACGTACTACGAACGGAACCGTCGTACTTCAATCCTACTGGGGACGTTTTTACAACGAGTTGAACTGTCTGAGGACGTATTGAGAACGAGGTAGAACTAATTGCAAACGGGTTTAAACTGACTAAGAACGTATTAAGGACTGCTTATGAACGAGTTAGCAAAACTATAGCTATCACATCAAACAGGTTGCCACTGCGTTCTTCAAAACTGGTTTTAAACTGTGTGCGAACGGAATGAACGAAGCTGTAACTTTCAAAGGTATATTTACGAACTTCATAAGCGTTAGAGTCCCCCTGAAAAGGTTTGGGAAATAAAGCATGTCAGTTTACATCATTTTTAGCTGTGTGAACGTATTGAATTCTCCATCAGTCCGTTCGTCCAGCTGGAAAGAAGCAGCAGATTATTAAGTGATATCCGTCTGTCCGTCCATCCTTCCATCGTCAACAGTTGTGGCACTAAGAGACAAATGCAATATCCATTCATATTTTGTTATGCACACAAGTGACATACCCTATACTGTACATGTATATCATGTATATCCAGGATATCTCTTTGGAAATAAGTCACTTAATATCATGTATGGTACAGAAAAATAATCCGTTTAGGTATATATAGCATCACTGTCATCTGAAGGTCCAAGGCCATGGCCAAAGTAAAGAGTTACTCTTGAAAAAGTCATTATTGTTTAAAATGTTAATTACCTGTGCAAAAATTGTTTACAGAGTTCGACACTTGTATATATATATTTTATGCACATAAGTAACTTTCTTTAGATAGGCCTACATTGCAACCAAATATTTATTGGTAAAATTGCACGACATATCAAACACTGCTCAAGATCAAATGCTACCCTCCCAGGTCTACCCTTGTATAAAAGTTCGAAATTTTATGACATTTGATATTATAGTGAGTTAGTCTATGTGCTTTTGATACACATGATAGTCTCTTCAAATGCAGCCAGCGTAGTAATTTGCTTGCTCTCTATGTGTAGGGTGTTTATTATGCATCTCTACAAGATACTGTTCAAAACATTTATTAGTCAGAACTTATAGGCAATACAACAAAAACTCTATATTACTATTTTGTAAATGAAAAATAAAAAATCCCAGGACATCACTTTTTCGTCCAGTTCATAGGTAGACGGAAGTCGTCCAAGGGGGGGGGGGGGATTTCCCAAAGATGCCCTATCATATAAGCACGTTCGAAAACAAATGTTATAAACAGGCCTCGATTTGCCATTGAAATGGATCTCCAAATGTTCACTGTAGTTTTATGAGTATTCTCTACAAGTATGGATCGAGTATCTATAATAGTATTACTGTAGGTTTGAAATGATGATGTTGAACTGATGTTAACGCCATTCCCACGATTTCAAATTTAACTCTGTGCATGCGCAGCACTGAGAGAGCACGTGCTCATGATTGTTCACGCAATTTGATTGGAGATGATGCAAGAGATGATGTAATGGGGAATCCCCGAATACGATAGAATATGAAAGAATTATGGGAGCTACTCACTCCTTCTGGAAGTCGTCCGAGTTTAAAGAAACATCAAAAGTTCTAAAAATGTAAGTACATTGTAGCACTCTTGCATCGTGGTAAGCCACGCCCTCTCTATTTCTATCCTTCTAGAGAGATCTGCGATGCAACAGAGAGAGATGCTATGAGTATCAGAATGACACACTTGATTGCGGATTGAGAATGTGCAGACTAAATCAAATGCTGGATGATCAGGAGCTGGCTATGACGGAACACCTATTCGAGAAAAATGTTGGGCGAGGCGGTAGCCTATGATATATTTGATCGGTATTGTCAAAACAGTACAAATTGGATTCGTCATGATAAAATTCAAGGCCATTCAAATTGGAGTAATATATATTTTTTCTATTGCCCTCTTCATGAATAATGTAGTATTGGCCCGCCACAACATGACGTCACATATTGCTCAGGTTGATAGTAAAATAAATGTCTGGACTAATGCCTAAACTAGCACTAATTCCCCGAGAACAGGCCTGGCAGGGTGGTTATAATACAGGTTATGGACATGGAATCAACTTACCTCAAATGTGCTTGTTATCTGAAGATTATAAAACAAAGGTACCCAGAGCCTGGTTGTAAGAATGGTACCAATGAGCATTCCGATGTTTCCGATATATAACTGGGCTCCACGCATGTACATTTCTGCTGGGTAGCCTAAAATCATAATTGCTGACTGGAACGACACCAGTAAAGACAGAGATGTAGGGACAACTTTTAGTTTCTTGTCCGCTGTAAGATATTCCTTTGTCGTCCGTTGACGGCCTCCGCTGAGAGCATGGTAAACTCCTATAGTCAGTGATGAGAGAATGAAAACAGCAAAGACGACATAATCAGCGATACCCAAACGAGCTTCTCTTTCAAGTCCCATTTTGATCATTGAAATGCTTTCTTATCTTAACCCTTTGAATGCAACTTGGCTATGGACGTATACACGGTGTCCAATCCAAACGCTCTTACATGCAGAACGGAGCGTTTCATTACTGAAACTAAACCAAGAAACGCTCCGGAGTAGGAAAACTGGCGGGCGGGAATGATGAGCTGTCTGACGATTTCTACAATAATGGGAATAAGAGGTATGAGCTACTTATTTCGAGTATACCATTCGATGCACTGGTGATCCGCTCGATTACGCTGGTTACCGAAACGGTTCGTTTATATTTTTAAAGTGCATTTTTTATGAAATTTTATCATCAAAGTTAAGACAAAACGGTCTTATTTAAATACAATACCTAAAATAATGATATTTTTTCATAAAAGCCAATGCAAGAGTCAAGATACAACGAGTTAATTTAAAGGGGCAACAAGGACTGTAGAGAGAAAATTTGAAAACCGGCCGATTGAGTATTTTGTTCAAAATTGAATACAATATTGAACAAAACACTCAATCGGCCGGGCGCCGGCCGATGGATTGGAGCAAATGTGACGCGGGCATTAGCTACGCGATGTTAATTACATACTCATAGTTTTTGAAAATAAAAGTTCATCCAAGCGCACTTAAACCTTTTAATAACGCTTTTCAAACTTTATCAATAGACTCGTTCCCGTGAATCACTGGTGCACCATAGGAGTGCATGCCATTTCAACTAACTTTGGTGTTTTTTCCGCTTAGATGAATCGTTTTTTAGAAAAACATGCAGCCATGCAAGCCATGAGGTCCATTGATCTTTTAAATGATCAGGCTCATTAAGTGTTGTGAATATCTATGTATACGTAAATTCATACTTAAAGGATCTTGTCACACTTTAATAGATAAATTTGAAATTGATTTTCATTTTGAATTGTACCCAGTTGAAATAGATGGTTTATCTTTAAATTGTAAACGTCATTCATCAATCAATGACTGCTATTTTTGTAATTCAAAGTACACTATACTTTTGACTCGGACTTAGCATCGTTGTAATTCTGTCAACTCAATACCTAGCTATTGTGGCGTGGTGTACTTCAAATAAGACCCTTTAACGTGGTCCATCACACGACGAGTGAATTATTTCACAGTTCTTATAAAAGTTTCTAGTTGGGATATATGTTTAGAACGTACGTAAGTACATATACTGTACATATTCTTTGAAAAGATAAGCAATATTCCAAACAGTTATATACCTGTGTTAATGATTACTTGAAGTCTGGTCAACAACAAAAAACACATTGCATGTCCTAGTACAACAACCGATTTTTAAAATATTAATTATCGTAAACTATGTATTATAAAGCTGCTAATAATTCAACCATTTTTTCTCAATTCAGAATCAGTCAACTGCACCATGAAAACGATAAAATAAACCTGTCATTGACATGCAACATTTAGTTGACATGTACTAGTATGTTGTGGAGGTCTGATTCTAAACATTTAATTGTTTCAATAATACTATGTCTTTCTCATGCCTTGGTCACATTTGCTCCGATTTTCCCTACGGCGCCCGGCCGATTGAGTATTTTGGTCAAAAATGAATACAATATTGAGCAAAACACTCAATCAGCCAGCGCCGGCCGATGGATCGGAGCAAATGTGACCCAGGCTTAACCTGACATGGCACCGTGTTGCTAAACATGTGCAAAAGAAATTGCCTCGTTCCAATCGAAATGTTCTCAATTTGTCGGGGTCGAACTATATATTTTATAGGGACTACACAGGTGAATTCTATTTGGATAATGTTATAATTTTCGAATGCATCAAACCTACATGTGTAAGTGTTATAGTTATAGATGAGTGTTAAAATCATCTCCCAATTCAAATTACGCTAAATGTTCAATGGAGAAACAATGTGGAACAGATAATCCAAACATACTCTCTTGTCCTGAATGGAACATAGTCACGGACCAGCAAAATTAAGCTAAACTAGACAACAGCAACACCAACGCGTAGCAAATCCCATCGAACAGCCATGGCTGGCATTTTTACAAACAAAGTAAATAGCGAAAATGGCAGCCATTTTTCAAAATGGCCACCTTCTACCAAAAGTGTCATTATACAGTGTGCCATGCCTAGGCCATGCTTATAGTATTCACATACCAATTAAAAATCGCTCCACTACTTTTCGAGTTATAGTAAAATACGTTAAAATGGTGGCCATTTTTCAAAATGACCGCTTTCTACCAAAAGTGTCATTAGACAGTGTGCCATGCTTATAGTATTCACATACCAAATATGAACATAAACAGTCCATTACTTTTCGAGTTATTTTAAAATACGTTAAAATGGCAGCCATTTTTCAAAATGGCCGCCTTCTACCAAAAGTGTCATTAGACAGTGTGCCATGCTTATAGTATTCACATACCAAATATGAACAAAATCGCTCCACTTCTTTTCGAGTTACAGCAAAAAATCGTAAAATTACGAGTAAAGGCCGCCATTTTTCAAGATGGCTGCCATGTGCTTCTTTAATATCTACATTTGTAGCTTTATTAATGTCCTATATAGTTTTTTTACATTTAAAACATATTGCTATCGTGTTAACATCAGTTCAACACCATCATTTCAAACCTACGGTAATACTATTGAAGTTGCTCGATCCATACTTGTAGAGAATACTCATAAAACTACAACTGACGAACATTTGGAGATCCATTTCAATGGCAAATGAGGCCTGTTAATAAAATTTGTTTTCGAACGTGCCAATACGAAACTACATCCTTGGGAAATCTCCCTCCCCCTGCTTTCGAGCAGAACTTCTACCCCCATAGGGTATATGTGTACAAAATATGAACAAATTCGGGCCAACGGTATTTGAGTTATTGCCCCCGACGGACGGACGGACGGACTTTATTTATGATTAAATTCACATTCTGAATTAAAGCTTACCTGGACATGATTTACATTAGCTGGCTAAGATATCGACTCGATATTCGACTCGTGGAAGACCTGTACTCAGCTGATTATATAGACAACCAATTCATGAAGAAATGGGCAAAATTATTGAAAACGAACACGCACGTTTTTCGTTTCAAATTACTGCTTCTCTACTTGCGATTGTAGTTTCGCCGTTTCAAGCATTTTGATCAATTTACCTGACCTACTTTTTAAGTTCAATAATCATTTTCATTTCAACCATTTCGAGCTATTCGGCCGTTTCGCCTCCATTTCAACCATTTCGCCTGCCATGGCAGTGTATACACCCCTTTACCTTCACCCGTTTGTAAGAGAGAGACCGAGGTGGGAGATATCCCCTCCTCTTTACACCAAACTTGTTCTCACTACGTTCTCGAAAATTGGTTTAAAAGGCCTCCTCACACATTATTAAGGAAAACATAGACATATTTTGCGCATTTAACCATTTGATAACATGTTGTGGATCTTTTCTTAATTTGTTAATGTGAATTCGCACCTTCATTTGCATGAAAGACTTTGATAGAATCCTTTTTTGATGATCTTTGTTAGAAAGCTGATGGTTGGCTAAGCTTCGAAATTCCAAATTGAACAGTCTACTAAGAATACCATGGTGTAAATGTTTTGGTTTTTTTATAATATGTCGTATAGACTGCTCAAACAAATTCGCTTTTTGTAGCTACAAATATTTAATTTCAATAGATGATAAACTTCTCAGTATAAGAGATTACCCTCATAAGACATTGTTGCAAGGTGTGTTGCAATGAATGCGACACCCCGCATTCTCGGGCCCGCAATATGTATTCTCGGAGAAAGCATATACAGGGTGATCACTAAGTTCTGGGAATTTATCTGTCGTTTCATTATTTTTCAACCAATTTACTTGAAATTTTCATGGTAAATGGGGAATGTAATTTTGGTTTGGATAAAACAGTTTCATTGTCATCTGATATCACAATGGATAATTGTGGTTACTATAGTAACATGACAAATGGCGTAGCGGGTCAAGTAAAATAAAAATGAATTCAAATTTTGCTTGATCCAAAAGTTTGGTTAATAAATACCTATTTGGTGAACATATTTCTGTGATTTTTCATATTTTCAAATACTTCTAACTTTAGTTTCTAAAGTAACATCTGTATTGTTATCTAAGAGTGTACTTTGTTCTATTTTCGTATCATTCATCGACATCTCAAAGTCACAATCATGACTGGAAATAGCGGGGAGTTATCTTCCATTATGACTATGCTCGTTCCCATTACTCAAGTAGCCCATACTACTCTTGAAGATTTAGGGTTCACAGAAGTTATTACTGCCCCACATTCACCAGACAATATTCACCAGATGAAGCACCATGTAGCTTCATTACATTTTGGGTGCTAAAGCATTATAGACCGGGTGCTTTTCTGCAAAAGGTCTCTCTGTAAAATGTGGTAGTCGTTTAGTGTTAAAAGTGTTCTGACAAGTGTTTCTAATGTAACTTTTTATGCTGAATCCAAAAAAACCATGTTGGCAAGCTGAAATATGATTATTTAACCCTTAAAATACCATGTTAGTCCCCCCCACCCCCAAAATTCACCCCTATCAGGGAGAAAAAATTCTTCAACCAAAAATAACTTTGATTTTATGGTTTTTGTAAGTGAAATAAATAGACATTGTATAAAATAAACATTTGAAGAATGAATGATACAGATTACCACTAAGAAATTTGTATAAAAGCAAAAAGTATGTACCCCAGGGGGCAAATTTATGACCCATTTTTTACTTTTCGTGTCATAACTTTTTTATTATACAATGATGGATGCTAAAAAAATCCATGAAAAAGGAAGGCTTAATACCTGGTATACCAATCCTGCAAGAATCAAAGTATTTCCTCTGGTAATTGCCTTTAAAAAAATTAGTGAATTTAAGAAAAAATGACATTTTAGCTGGGACTGATTTTATGTGTGACTATAACTGACCCCTATTGCTTTAACATTTATCCCTCTGTGTTCATATATTAAAAATTCATGAAATATGATGTCTAAAATTGATAAGTTATAGGT